TCTCATGTTCAAGCCTTTCTTACTCTTTTCAGCTCTGTGCTTCTTCCACAAAGTAAACTTTCTTCAGCCATCTGTTCAGTTCTCAGTCCGAACCTCAGTAAGCTGAGCGGGTTGCAGCAGCAGTGATATGCAGAGATATTCTGAGCTGCTGGAGGAGCTGATCCCAGCGGAGTCCCAGCAGGAGTCCAGGAGTGGGGGGGTGGATGAGGTCTGAACAAGGAACATTGCTAATTTATGAATACGAATATATAGATTCTCTGTACAGTCTCCTTTCAGATAAAGCCAGATAGAGTACAGCGGGTGATATTCAATGTGTGTCTGAATTAATTATAGAGTGGCGTTATTGTAGAGTGGATAGAGCTTGTGTTATGTATCACATATGTTCCTTATAAATAACGGAAAAAATATGATAAAACAGTAGAAAAAGACAAAGTAACAAAAAAGATTGAACGTATGATCTTGGAGCTGAGAGGAAGTTAGAACGTATCGATAGACGGACTAACTGAAAGTCTTCAGTTGTACATTTTGCTTCTCTACTTTGTAATTTACTGTTTTTCATCCTCTGTCAAGGACACATCGTTTTATAAGAAGATTTAAAGATACAGATGGAACATAGAGCCGGGTTGAGTCTTCCTCTGCGGTCCGAAAGACAGATTTTGGCTAATCTCTACAATCGGATATCTGCATATGAATGCAGAATCTGTAGGTAAGAAACCAAGATGTTAACATCGGAAGTGTAGTTGTTTTGTAGTCCGAACTGACCAATCAGCTAGCTTTCTTTCATGCAGATAAACAATCCGTGGAGAGCAAAAGAGGCAGAACACATTGGCCGGAAAGTCGACAGAAGCTTCTCAGATGCTTTGGTGCCGCGATTGTCCACTCGTGGCGGCGTCGCTCGCTAGTGTCGTTGAGTTTAATAGTAAACAATATAACGTTACTAGATAGTTTACTGACAGGTTAAATAGTGCTGATAGTGGAGCGCCCTCTGCTGGATCACAAGGCAAACTACTTCAAACTCTCTGTTCAGTACTTCCAGAAAAAGTTTTTTTGTGATTGTTGCGGGCAAAAATCCTTGATTATGCAGCACGTTTTCTTAAAAAATGCGATGGAATATGCGGAATATTTATGCAATTTTATGCGATGAAATTGCGGGAACTTTCAAAAATTGCGGGAACAAGCAAAAACTGCGGTTTGATGAAAAAGAGAAAATAAAGTGATTCCCCCAACACCCTGTTCTCACTAGGCTACAACCTTAACGTAAAGAGTCATTTCTTATTACTTCCTATGATAAGCAAGCATACTACATCACAGAAAGTGCTGGGAATATTTAAGTTCTTATCTTGTTTTATTTCAGACCTTAATAAACACATGGCTCAAACTTACAAAACATTGATGAGTCAAACAAGTTCTGTATCTTTGTGCAGTCTTTTGCGCTTATTTTTGTGGCAAATGAGACTGATTTGCAGGCTTCATCATGGCTTCATCGCGGGGTTTGCAGCTTTTCGATGATGTTCACGTTGCGTAATTGCCAAATGTTCCCATGCGCAACAGGGGAAAATGGCTTCTCTTGTGTGAAGTAAACGCAACATATTTCAACTTTCTGCTAAGATATATGTGACTTTTTTGCAACGAAAATGCGGGGATTATGAAATCATGCAAGCCCTGCATATTTTGCGCGGAAATCGGCAATTTATGCGGCGAAAGTGCAGCGTATTTGAAAAATGTGGCCCCCGCATAAATATGCAGACTTTGGCTGATTATGCATTGAATTATGCGATCGCATTATCGCGTTTTTCTGGAGGGACTGTCTGTTGTTCTTATGGCTTGTAGTTTTTGAATTGGAAAACAGGTCATTACATTTCTAAAATTAACCACGTTCCAACAAATTCTCGAATTTTGAATAGGCATCCATAGCTATCTCGTGCAGGACTGCACGGTCAAAGTGAAATGTCTAGTTACACTTTCAAAAAAAGGCTTATGTGGTTAACATTGTGAGAAGGTCATAGTTTTATTAAGTCTAGGCACAAAAACTACTAAAAGTTGTAATGTACGTAATGTACCTGACAAAACTCATACGTCACTTCAGAGCCATTGTTAACTTTTGGTTTCACATGGGAAACACTTACATTTCTGACAATAAATCCTCCTCAATGTCTCACAGGAATTTAAATGAAGACAAACTGAAATCATTTCAACAGTCTGGTGCTGAAAGTTGACAAACTGCCTCCATATGTCCAGTTCTCACTGTGTTTATACATTCAGCATTGCATGTTGATTGACAGGTGTGTGTGACAGGTGTTTGGGGAATGTGTGGGTTGTTGCTGTGATAAAGATCAATCTGACATTTAACTCCAGAAGTGTTAACTGTGTTAAGAATACCTTGCTGTTCAGAGCAGAGATCAGACTGTAAAAAATAAAACAAAATCAAGAAATTAAGCCAGAAACAAGTAAGAGATGTGGTTTGTTCTGCTGATACTGTTAGCCTGTTAAATCATGCAGTTAATGTAGCCAAACATGCAGGCATTGTGCTTAAATATAGCAAATACGGGGCAGAGGTCGGTCAAAGCTTCATGGTAAAAATACAGTATGTCTCTACATATTTCCCTGCAGAGATACAGTATTTATTTTATTGACAGATTCTCACTTTACAATGCAGTTTCAATATACATAATAATACCATTTGACTCTCAGAAACGGGGCGGAGGTCAGTCAAAAACTTGCTTCGTGGTAAAATAATTTCCCTACATATAAGCTGGGGTTTTATTTGGCATTCAAACACATTATTACACTTACATAAGTGTGTTATATAAAGAGTGTAATTACAGCACTGACAGCATGTGGCAGAGTGGCTCTCCACAAATGTGCTAAAAGCAAACTGTGGCATTAAAGCAGAGAATCATCACGTTTTGAAACGCGGATCCAACAGTGTGTGTGAACATGAACGTGACACAGATACTAATAAAACACACACACACTCATAGTGACAGAAAGGCAGCAGTCTTTATGCTCTCCCACCTCTCCTTACACTTCATTACCACAGTCCTAAAAATAATGTTTTGACACTGAATGCAAATCACCTCCTCTCCTTACCCGTAATCAAAGTCTTTCCTGTAGGACTCTCAGCCTCCGCTGTCAAACGAGGCAGAGCAGAGTCAGAGATACCCGCTGAGTACGACCCTGAACCGCTGCACAAGGCAGCGTTGTGAGGCTTTATTGTTGCTTGGCATTTGCACTCTGGCTTTGATCACAGAGGAGGGCTGTATGGGATCTGTGAGGCAGGCCAGGCTCATTTCATTACACTCCTCTGCTTCCCAGAGCAACAAATTCATTCCGTTTCTTCTTCAGAGGTGAAAGAAATATTAGTATAATTTGCTGTAGTAAAAGTGTCAGTACATTAATGTAAAAATACTCTACTGCAAGTACAAGTCCTTCTTAAAGTACGGATTAAGTGAAAAATGACCATTTAACCCTTAAAGATTACGTCTGTGGTCATGTTGTGCTCCTATTTACAATTTATGCCAAAGAATGTAAACATTAAAATCTATTTCTTTGTATTTTTTTTCTCTTCCTGTTAAACAAAATGTGCAATATCATGACATCCACCCATAAATCAACTTTTAGTGACACAGCGAAGATTCATTAGTTAGCTAGCTAGCAACCTGACTGATTCCTGTACAAAAACGGCTGCTGAATGACCAAATTAACTTTTAATTGACAGTAACGTGTCTACTTCCTGGGTGTAGTTTTCTAAGAACATACTGTGGCTCATCAATGCACACTAGAGCGCACCATGAACGGAAAAACATTCATAACAAATCTGTAGTCATCTGTAATTTGATTTGATTCTCAGATACGGGGCGGAGGTCAGTCAAAAACTCATGATAAAAACATTTCCCTACAGAGATAGTTCAGGATATTGCTCTGCTGACAGATTTCTCCCCATCAGAGTCACTGAAGGACTCAAACAACAAAAAAAGTGTGTTTAAAATGTCAAATACAGGAGGGAAGTTATTGGCATTTTCCCCTTTTAAGAAACACAATTAGTCTTCAGACTCTTGAACAACAGAGTCGTGGTTGAAATTTTGATTAGTCAGGTTTGACTGCACGTGTGAGGAGACTCTATAAAACACAGCGTAGGTCGACAGTAAACCTGCTCCTCATCCGTCGGGCACTCGGTGGTTTTAGTGTGGAGGCTGTTGATACATTTAAATGACTTCAGGTACGTGTTTTATTAACGCACGCTGTAGCTGCTGAATTCAAAGCTTCTGATTCTGATAATGAAGACATGGATCAGTCTCATCTGATGTTTATTCAGCAGCTCCAACTGTCACTTTATTTCTCTCAGGAGCTTTAAGACCAACAGTGCCCCCAACAGGCGAAGCACGGCGTTACAACATCAGAGCAGAGCTGTGAATCCTCGTTTAACGTCTGTGGAGAGGACAGAAATATGAACGTAGTAACCTGTTATAATTATATACCGCAGGTCCTTCCATCAACGGCAGATCAGAACATAATGTATCACTATTTATCTCAGATTATAAATCCTATTTATATTCATATCATATTGTATACTATATCTTTATATAGAGTATATATCTTTATATCTATGCACTATGGTCATATATCTGTATATGATCTCTTTCAATGTGTGTAGCATAAAGTTCCTCGATAAAGTAAAGCTTTTATTTGTATTTTTATTTGTTTTATAGTTCGGTTTTTACCTCTATTTTTAAGTTTTAAGCTGTGTTAACAGTTTGTTTCCCCGGTGTAGGATCAATAAAGTTTTTCACTGTAAGAATTTGATCCATTCAGTCCGGTAACATTTGGAGAGCCACACAATAAAACCATTTTATCCCCATTCAGTGAGTGGAAAGCTAAACTGCAAGTTAGCCGGTTCAGAAGTCTTTAATGCTCGTTAATCTGCAGTTAACAATAACTGTAAAATAATGATTAAAAACAACAAATTTGACTGAATCAACAACAAACACGACCCAACAGCGTCTGGTTCTGTAGCTTTTAATATCGGTTTCTTTTTAAAACAATCACGTGTAAAATATTCATATTTTCACTTATAATATGAGCGATTTGATGGATAAGTGCATTAACAAAAGGACAGACTTTTAAAAACAGTCCACACAGGAAAGGATGAAAACGCTGGCCCTCGTCTTCCTCGCCTGCGTCCAGCAGGGAACCATCACAAAGTCAACACACACACACGTCTGTGGCTTTAATCCAGCGTCCATCCTGGTTCTTATTTACCTCCCAGCATTCAAGCTCCTCACTGGAGGCTCTCTAGAAAATCCTCCAAACACCTGCGAACACCCCCGAGCCGACACAAGCCTCTGCCTTAAGACAGACGCTCTGAATAATATCCTGAGGCACTGTAGAGACACACACTCTCTTCTCTCTCTCTCTCTCTCTCACACACACACACACACACACACACACACACACACACACTGCGGCTCCACGGCGGTTGCAGCTTCCTGTGTCAGTCATCGGGTTCGGTGACGCACTGCTCCACGATCTCCCTCAGGTTTGGATTCTCCATGGCGGCCGCCACTCGCTCCTTATCATTGATCTGCTTGTTAACTGGAGACAGGATTACAGTGAGACCACACACACACACACACACACACACACACACACACACACACACAGACACACACACACACACACACACACACAGACACACACACAGACACACAAAAAAAAAACGTGCCATGAATCAGAAAATAATCAGTTTTTATAATCTTTAAATATGTGATATGCCTCCGAATCGTGTGATGCGTCCGAACAGCGGCATCGTTATCGCTATCATCGTTCGCCAAACATTCCACAACATTCTTTATCCGGGTAAAAAGAAAACATTTCTGGGTGAAGACGTTCATCTGGCATTTGGATAGCCTGTCGCATCGAGGTGAGATAATTATTCTAAATGATCTAAATTCTATAACTACTTGAATAACCTGTAAACTGTTCGCTGGAAGTATCTGAAATTTGTTTTCTTATCAAGGCTAGTTGCGTTTCCACGTGGTCGTCTTATCGCTATACGTTTGATGATTGCACGTGATTTTCTCTCGCATTGTACACAGCCAAACGGACAGAAAAACGCAACCAAAAATTGCGGACTCAATACTCAAAATAGTTCATTTAGTTTAGTATTTAGTTCCTTAAAGGAGTGTTTAGGCTGTAGTTGTTTGATTACAACCCCCTTGCCTCACCCTCCCTTTATAAAACGTCTCACTCTAAGGTAACGAGAACACAACAATTCTTATTATCAGCTGATTAAACACTAAAGCAAACATATTCCTGACAGTAGATCCTCCTCAATGTTTCAGCTCACTGACCCGTAAACACTAACGTTGTTCATATTTCTCGCTGCCAGTGTGGACAACGTCCCACATGACTCAGAAAATTACCTTAGTGGGAGGTCGTTCGAATCTAAAGAAACCATTTGTTCCATAAACATAAAAGAATAAATAAAAGACACTTACTATCTTCCTCCGTGGAATGGGTTCCCTCTGAAATGTAAATTTCCAACTGACAACAGAAAGAAAATACAACTGTTTGTTTATTGCGTTGTTTATCCAGCTATTATTCAAGAAATTCAATTAAGAACAAAGTAAAGAGTATTTTAAATGTCAGCTGTGCTTTTAAAGAGAAGAAGGTTAATGGCAGAAGGAAAGATCAACAGAGAAATGGGACCGTCACAGCTCAGAGAACAACAAATGTAATTATTAAAATCCTGCGGAGGGAATACGCTGAACACAACAATAAATATATCACAACACAGAAGCTACACTGGGTCGTCTCTGCTGGTTCGGGACCTTAATCCAAAGACGGGAAACTTTAAAGGTTATATAAGGGATTTAAAACATCAGCAACTCTCTATATAAAGATATAGATAGATATAGTCCAACACAGAGTCCAACACAGAGTCCAACACAGAGTCCAACACAGAGTCCACAACACAGAGTCCACAACACAGAGTCCAACACAGAGTCCACAACACAGAGTCCACAACACAGAGTCCACAACACAGAGTCCACAACACAGAGTCCAACACAGAGTCCAACACAGAGTCCAACACAGAGTCCACAACACAGAGTCCACAACACAGAGTCCACAACACAGAGTCCACAACACAGAGTCCAACACAGAGTCCACAACACAGAGTCCAAAGTCAAAGCTAACATTAATGCTAAGCTAGTGGAACATATTGTCTGTTAGCTTGGTTGCTAACAAGGATGAATTGCTAACAAGCTAATGTAGCAAAATATTGTCAGCTAGCTTAGCATTAATGTTAATAATAATTAATACTTCATTCAGACTCCTGAAACCTCAACTTGCTCGCTAACGTTATTGCTAGCAAAATACTACGTTAGCTTCCCCAGCTAACGATGCTAACTTCTGTATTCTGTCGATGTTAGCCAACAATAAATGATGCTAACAGTACAAAGCTAACGATAGCTTTCTGCTAGCTGAGAGTGATGTGAGGGAGGGGCATCCAGCTAGCTAACTGTAGCTAAGCTAACTGCTGTTGTCTGGCTGTATCTTGGCGTTGCATTGTGGGTCTGGCGTTGCATTGTGGGTCTGGTGTTGCATTGTGGGTCTGGTGTTGGCTGATGGCTGATTTGTAAACAGCGAGCTAGTTATTAGCATGGAGCTAACGGTCCAAATACAATATAGGAACATTGCAGATAGAAACGTTATTCTAAATATGACTGTCAGTTATTTTCCATATATATAAATATCTAATCAGTGGAGCGTGAATTGATTTAAAGTCTGAGCTTGATTTCAATAGATTTTATCTCACTACTGTTACGACGTCAGGCTCTTTGCAGCGAGCAGATGTTCCTGATAGAAAACACTCCTCGACTCAAGAGGCTACTCATCGCGGCTCTCCACCTGCCTCCACACACCGTTTGTTTGATGGCCGTCCAAGAACTCCTCTCTCCACGAACCCTCGACTGAAACTGGGTGGTGAATAAAGAGCTTATTAGCTTTACTTTCCGTCCTGATGGTTCACAGAATACTGCAGAGCTGCGCTCTTTGAATTGTTAATGAAAGAACAACCGTTTCCTCTCATCGACTCCTCCGCCTCCCTTTGTTGTCTGCGGGAGCGTTTGATTTGTTTAGTCATGTTTGTGGGTTTGGAAGTCAACTTTAAACTTGTGCTGTGCGAGGTAAAAAGTTCATGGAAACGTATAAATCAAATCACCAGCAGCTGTTAAATCATCCTGCCAGGAGGAGGAAGAGACCTGAGGCGAAGGTACTGGGGGGGTACAGGTGCCTGGAGGTGTTTTAAAAACTAGAGTTAGTTATAGTTTGGTTGCTGATGTGGCTGTTCACATTTACAACCCTTACAGTCAAAAACCTCCTTCTTAGAAACATACTTTAAGATTCAGTGTGATTCACACTTTTCGGGGTAAAATTAGTGTTTGTGTCTCTGGAGTCTGGTGGAGAGTGATAGTGATATTACGGCTGTTTGTGGTTAAACTAAAGGTCTATCTCTGTAGGGATCCTTTCCATAATGCTGTCAGACACTGACAATAACAACCTGAGTCTGTCAGTGGAACAAACAACTACTGTTAGTGGAACAAATAACAACTACTGTTAGTGGAACAAACAACAACTACTGTCAGTGGAACAAACAACAACTACTGTTAGTGGAACAAACAACTACTACTGTTGGTGGAACAAACAACAACTACTGTTAGTGGAACAAACAACAACTACTGTTAGTGGAACAAACAACAACTACTGTTAGTGGAACAAACAACAACTACTGTTAGTGGAACAAACAACAACAACTGTTAGTGGAACAAACAACAACTACTGTTAGTGGAACAAACAACAACAACTACTGTTAGTGGAACAAACAACAACAACTACTGTTAGTGGAACAAACAACAACAACTACTGTTAGTGGAACAAACAACAACTACTGTTAGTGGAACAAACAACAACAACTACTGTTAGTGGAACAAACAACAACAACTACTGTTAGTGGAACAAACAACAACTACTGTCAGTGGAACAAACAACAACTACTGTTAGTGGAACAAACAACAACAACTACTGTCAGTGGAACAAACAACAACTACTGTTAGTGGAACAAACAACAACTACTGTTAGTGGAACAAACAACAACTACTGTTAGTGGAACAAACAACAACTACTGTTAGTGGAACAAACAAATACTGTTAGTGGAACAAACAACAACTACTGTTAGAGGAACAAACAACAACTACTGTTAGTGGAACAAACAACAACAACTACTGTTAGAGGAACAAACAACAACTACTGTTAGTGGAACAAACAACAACAACTACTGTTAGTGGAACAAACAACAACAACTACTGTTAGTGGAACAAACAACAACAACTACTGTTAGTGGAACAAACAACAACTACTGTTAGTGGAACAAACAACAACTACTGTTAGTGGAACAAACAACAACTACTGTTAGTGGAACAAACAACAACTACTGTTAGTGGAACAAACAACAACTACTGTTAGTGGAACAAACAACAACAACTACTGTTAGTGGAGGCACAAATACTAACTAATATGTTAGCATATTAGCCATTTCAGCCATTTTAACGAATATCTTCTTATCCAACTCTGTGAACTAAAGATTTATTTCCACCAAACCAGCGTTGGTGATGTTGGAAAGTCTAACAAAGACGGTTTTGGTGAATTTAATTCTGTTTCTTTATTTGATTATCTGCTAGGTAAAATCTGTGGTTTTGTCCCTGGAGTCTGGTAAAGTACATTTCATATATAACCTATAACATATATAGTTTTTCTTCTGCATCGAAGTCATCCAGTGAGAGATGTCCATGGATGACTGCCCCAAGAGGAGAGGTAGAGAGTCGGGACAGGAGGTATTTACTGGGGCCATTAAAACAAACTCTTCATGTTTAACTGTAAATATTTCTGTCACAATGTCGACTGATGACCAGCAGCAGTATCAGACGGTGAAAACCCTGATCTGGAGAAACGGGGACACTGTTCCTGAGAACAGATGCTGCTGTTGAAATGTTTAATGATGTGAGCACCACAAGCCAAACTGCATTCCCCCCCCCACTGGAAGTTATCTGAGGAAATGTGTGTTTTTAAAGGGTTAAAGTTGTTGTTCTCGTACTCACCTTGTGTTTAAATGGCAAACATCGCTGCAGCTTCACTTGTAAGCACAGACCTGCAGACACATAAAACGTCTCCGTCAGCCACAGAGATTCTGATCACAGCCAGGTTTCAGGACAATAACCAGCAGATTAGAGGAGATTGTGTCAGATTTATCGATGCTGCATGCTGGGAGATTATGTTGCAGAGAGCACAAACAAACAGTGAGCCGGTCGGCAAAACGTCGGCAAACATACAAAGCTCAGCAATTAACACCAAGTTGTAATTCCAGCATCACTCGCTGAGGGATGTTGGGGCCACAATACACACATATCTATGCTGTTTGGTTACCATGGTAATTAGGACCTGGTTCAACTAAATCGACGTTCATATCCAAACATAAGATGGAAAAACAGTCTCTAATGTCCAAGCTGACCAATGACACCCCCCCCCAATTAGTTGAATCCGCGCTAGTTGGCTGTTTTTCGAGATGGAAAGTCTGATCTTTTCAGAGCCCAGCAAACGCACCACAGGTCATGTGACAAGCATGAACCAATCGGCTCCACGGGGACGACTGCGTTGGGTTGAAAGGTCGGCCGAACTGAAGTCGAGGTTTTAGTTTCTCAACAGAAACTGAGCGATGGATTCATGGTGCTGGTAATGTTTGTTGACTTGTAATTAAATAAGTCAGTGAGGTTTAATGCTAAATTACCTCTTCATCTTCATCATCATCATCATCATCAGCAGCCGTTCGTAGGTTTCGTGAAGACAGACGGGAAGGTAGCACAACCTCCTGAGCATTTTCCAGTTTCTTTTCTCAGTGAAACCAGCGTTTTGTTGCTGCAGTTGATTGTCAGACTCCTTCATGTGTGTTTATATTCACGTTGTTTAGTCACACAGATGTGTGGAGTGCCTAACAAATAAAATATAATGTAGTTTCTGATCCCAGATGGGGTTTTTACAAACGCTATATACTGGCTGGTTTTTCTGCTGTGCAGCTGCAAAGCATCCTGGTCTATTTCCTGCTGTAGAATTGATTTCTCTTCCCTCTGATGGACTCCTGCCTTCTGTGTGATTTTGGCCTCCCTCTCCACACGGACAGACACCAAATCCTGTCGATTACCTTTGATGTTTCACACACTGCTTTCAGACTCAGCTGGAAACGGCTGATTGTTCCAAAATGGACGTAGCGATGAGGGTTCGATCCGCCAGCAGCTGTCCTCCTCTGCAAAGGGTCGTCTGAGACAGAAAGCTTCCCTCCTCCGGCACGCGGCCGGAGCCCCAGAGAGGCCGGGATCACTTCAGGACGCCGTCAATTACATCTCGACAATTCATCCTATTAAGAACGAGCTCCTGGGGGAGAATCTGTCAGTTCATTCATATTCTAACTGGATTATTAATGAGTCTACTGGCTCTTATTAGTGTGGGATGATAATTTAGTATTGTCTATATTTCCATATAAGTGAATCATGATTAATGTCCAGTATAAAAGATCAACCAGATCCTAAAATCCTCAATAACACACAGACAGTGAACGGAGAAATATTACTTTACTTATGAAAAGGAGCAAAAAAGAAACTAATAAATATCTGAGGACAGAGCTCATTATGTCTCTGCTGTAGTCTGAAGTTATGTCAAACAGTAATATTAACCTCTCTCGGCTCAACAGCTGAGCCTCTATCCCATAATAATGATCGCACACTGCCCTCCAGAGGCCGACCGCAGTAACTACACTGACAATGAAACCATCCACTCAGATGAGTAAATTAAAGTTTTAATCACTTATAAATCATCACCAATTATTTGACCACTGACCCGTAAACTGTAGATGCTGCAGTGTGTCTTTGTGTATAAACGTAGTGAGAGAGTCTAATTAATCACATTAAATCTGATTGTTTCATTAAGAATGAATTACACTTACTTTCATTAGCACAATAAAACTATTTTAACATTAAAAACTGTCAGCTGTGGTTTACAAAACTTTACTTTAATAAATACAGAACCTAATGTTTTAGATTTTTTGGTTAAAGCTGGACTTTTATTATATATTTTACCGAATAAATACAAGTTTTTATCATCGACAGAAACAATTTTAGTTGTATTTAGCTAGCACTTTCCTAGCATTAGCTAACTTAACATGTGCCTGTATATGTTGTTTTATCTTTTAAGCATCTTAATAATGTGGTTGAGATTGGAGCACAGAGGAAGGCTCAATTACATACAGTACTTGATAAATATGTACATGTGTTTGTGTATGTGTGTGTTATATCTGTTGTCAGTTGTTTGTTTGTGAAAAAAAATTAAATAAAAGATAAAATTTAGCAGATAAAATGAGAATAAAGCTGTGAGATAAGTTCTATGTGACCCTAAAACTACTCGATTTAACAGTTGAAACAGTTGAAGCATTCGCATTTGAATTGAACACGTGTATAAAAACCTGCTCGCTCATTAACAAACACGCCACAGAAACAAACTGCGACTCAAAATGTCGGTAATTAAAGTGTCTAATGTGAGTGACAAGAGAATAATGTGGATTGTTCAGCGCTGAGAATACAACGCTCATTAAAACCAGAGTCTGGCTGCTGGACTCGCGCCCACTTAGTAGCTCGTAGCTAATGGACTACTGAATCCAATTTACTCTGTGTGTGTGTGTGTGTGTGTGTGTGTGTGTGTGTGTGTGTGTGTGTATGAACCACAGCCAGGTTTTATATTTATCCTCCTAACATCCGTTTAGCAGGAAAAAAACTCAGTCAGGCTTCAATTTTCCTTCCTGTTGTTTTGTGTCCTGAAAGGGAAAATGTCTCTGCTGCCAGACGCAACACAAAGACGTGTTAACACACAGATTTGAATATATGAATAAGCAAAGACGTCGTTTGTATCACGTGTTCCCGCGGTCGCACACGCTGCTTCTCTCGAGGAAATTACAGCTCCAGTCCAACTCTGTAACCTAACAACCGAACGTGCTGACTCTGCTGCTGAAAGATTAGACTGATCACTGCCAGCAGGAAGGAGGTGAAAGGTCAAACCTTCAGTTGCACAACCAGTCACACCACAAAACTTCCTGTCTTTAACCTCGAGTGTTGGATTAACTGAGTGATCAATACTCCCATTATCAAAGCATCAATCAAACTAATAACTAACAGCAGTCAACGTCAGACAACCTGATCAGCCTTCAGCAGTGAGCTAGTGTTTCTGTAGTGGAGACTAAACGTTAACAATGATCCATATCAGCAGTTTGAATCCAACTAAAAGCTCCCTGCACCAAACTCCCTTTAAGAAATATCACATTTTAACAATTCCTAACGTGTTCGTAACAACACGTAACTCTAGAAACACGAGCTAAAGGCCGTCATATGTCCACAGTCTGACTGTCAATACAGGATCAATATCATCCATAAAGATACAGTGTATACTGATCAATATCATCCATAAAGATACAGTGTATACTGATCAATATCATCCATAAAGATACAGTGTATACTGATCAATATCATCCATACAGATACAGTGTATACTGATCAATATCATCCATAAAGATACAGTGTATACTGATCAATAATCAATAAAGATACAGTGTATACTGATCAATATCATCCATAAAGATACAGTGTATACTGATCAATAATCAATAAAGATACAGTGTATACTGATCAATAATCAATAAAGATACAGTGTATTCTGATCAATAATCAATAAAGATACAGTGTATACTGATCAATAATCAATAACGATACAGTGTATACTGATCAATAATCAATAACGATACAGTGTATTCTGATCAATAATCAATAAAGATACAGTGTATACTGATCAATAATCAATAAAGATACAGTGTATTCTGATCAATAATCAATAAAGATACAGTGTATTCTGATCAATAATCAATAAAGATACAGTGTATACTGATCAATAATCAATAAAGATACAGTGTATTCTGATCAATAATCAATAAAGATACAGTGTATACTGATCAATAATCAATAAAGATACAGTGTATACTGATCAATAATCAATAAAGATACAGTGTATTCTGATCAATAATCAATAAAGATACAGTGTATACTGATCAATAATCAATAAAGATACAGTGTATTCTGATCAATAATCAATAAAGATACAGTGTATACTGATCAATATCATCCATAAAGATACAGTGTATACTGATCAATAATCAATAAAGATACAGTGTACACTGATCAATAATCAATAAAGATACAGTGTATTCAGATCAATATCTGTGGTTGTCCCCAGACTCACCGATCAGTGTAGCCAGTGAGCAGTGAGGGACGGTCGGGGAGAACTTGATGATGATGAGGTACTCGTCCTCGCAGAGCTCTTGGACCTCCACACATTTCTCCGTCACCACGTCCAGCTCCTCCAGGGTGTTCGGCTTCTCCGGGTCCCGGATCGATCGGATCACGTCTGATAGAGGGCGGGAAACGAGATGTGTCGTTGTTTACTTCAATTAACGTTAAAGTAGAGTTCAGAAAGTTAGTCGTAACAAATGAGTGTCTGAAAGTACTAATCCCAGAGCGTCACACCAAACTCCATTCAGAAAACCATCGATTTAAGATCTGTTCCAGCACTAATCCCAGAGCGTCACACCAAACTCCATTCAGAAAACCATCGATTTAAGATCTGTTCCAGCACTAATCCCAGAGCGTCACACCAAACTCCATTCAGAAAACCATCGATTTAAGATCTGTTCCAGCACTAATCCCAGTATGTGTCATTCACTACCAACACACCAAACTCCATTCAGAAAATCCTCTATTTAATGTTGCCTTCAATAATGGCACCAACTTCATACAACGAATCTTACAATAAACTTATTGATCCGGCAACAACTGATATAAAGACACTTGATACAAATCATACTTTGATAACAACTTTGGCGCCGTTTCGTTGAACTAACGTACTTATAGTAGACTAGACTAGAAGTCCTCTACGGACGTTTTAAGCTACTAAACACGAGAACGCTTATTTCAGCTCCTTTTTGAATGGAGTCTGGTGCGCCGTTTATCTCTCCACCGCGGCAGCAGTTCCGGTACCGTTCCCGCGCCTCACCGTACACTTCCAGCGCTTTGTCCTCCATCTTCCCGCTCCTCAGGACATCCCTGTTGTTCAGTCCTTCAGTGACAGTCAGCGACTCCAGGCTCAGCACCGGGTCCACGGCGGCGCCATGATACCGAGGAGCGACCGAGGAGCAACTGCGACAGACACACCGACACCAGCACCGACCGACCGACCGACGGAAGCGTCCCTGTCGCAGCCAATCAGCGCGGCTCACTCACTTCCGCTTCCGGTATTTTAGTGTTCAGGGAAAAGTAATCGATGAGTGATCGAACTCTGATTCTATTTCTGGATTGGTTTTATTTATTCCTCCAAAGATGATTGTATCTCCAGTGTATTTAATTAAATTAAATTAAATTAGATTAAATTTAATTACTATTATTATTATTATTTAAAATAATAATAATAATAATGTTACATATAATAATATTAATAATAACATCAATTAAAAAATTACATGGTTTTATAATATTATTATTAATATTATTAATGGTACAATATTATTAATTATAATATTATAAAACCATGTAATGCATTTTTTATATATTATTATTATCATTATTATTATTATTATCCATTAAACTAATATAGTGTCCAATTGATACAAACTAAAAGTGCTGAATAATAATAATAGTATTTTATCATTGTATCTTTTTGTATTTATTATTGTTTTCATTTGATTAACTATTTTAAATAATTGTTGACTTATTTATATGTTAGTTGTAAAACTTCAGTTAACAGACTTTTATATAAGTTTTTACTATTTTACTATTATTTGAAAAAAAACAACTTCCCTCTCGGGTGAGTATCTGTGTCACTCACTCACTAGTCCTCGGCCTCCCTCTTTCCGCTTTGTGTACAGAGCATGGTGAGGAGCTTTCTTGTCTTGATATCTGTGGCTTCTATCTCCTCCTTTGGCCAGCTTATGATCCCAACAGGGTATCTGATGACAGGTAGTGCGTACATGTTGATGGCTTGGATCTTGTTCCTGCCATTCAGCTGACTTTTCAGAACCTGCCTTACTCTCTGGAGGTTGTGGTTGACTTCCTTGTGGCTTCCTCATGGTTTCCATTAGCCTGTGGGATACCAAGGTACTTAGCATCCCAACAGTATTCCGCCCTTGTCCATCTTGTGCATAAAAACACCAATATGATTGTTGAGAAACAGTTTGTTTGGCCCTCAATTATTTTCCATATAATAAATAATAATATACAATAAAAATACCAATATATATATATATATAAAATAAAATAAAATAAAATAAAACTTCCCTCTCGGGGTGGTATCTGTGTCATCCTCAAGCTCGGGTCCTCTACCAGAGGCCTGGGAGTTTGAGGGTTCTGCACAGTATCTTAGCTGTTCCTAGGACTGAGCTCTTCTGGACTGAGGCTTCTGATGTTGTTCCTGGGATCTGTTGGAGCCACTCCCCGAGTTTGGGGGTCACTGCCCCGAGTGCTCCTACTACCACGGGGACCACGCTCGCCTTGACCTTCCACATCTGCTCCAGCTGTTCTTTCAACCCTTGGTACTTTTCAACCTTTTCATGTTCCTTCTTTCTGATGTTGGCGTCTGCTGGTATGGCCACATCTATCACCACCCGCCTTCTTCTGCTCCTTGTCTACCACCACTATGTCTGGTTGGTTGGCCAGGACCTGTTTGTCAGTCTGGAAGCTGAAGTCCCACAGCACCTTGGCCCTGTTGTTCTCAGCCACCTTCTGTGGTGCGGCCCATTGGGATTTGGGTACTTCTATTCTATACTGGGTACAGATGTTCCTGCACACTATTCCAGCCACTTGGTTGTGTCTCTCCATGTACGCTGACCTGGCTAGCATCTTACACCCTGCTGCTATGTGCTATACCTGATATATGAGGTACACCTGTTTATCTACATTCGTTCAATAAAGTGCAGTTTAGCCAATGAGAAACTACTATTTTCCGTGTCCATGGTATGTGTTAAGAAAGTTGGACTACGTTCTCCAGAATCAACTCACCAGTGACATTCAGAAGCTGCCAGCAAATAATTTGTGTTCACGTCACACAGGTACCGTCCTGAGTCTGGACACATGAGTCCGTCTCATTTACATTACTGATCAAAGTGTTTCCTCTGATCATATGCTGAGCTGTAAATGTTCCCTTCTACTACTGACCTGAAATCTGAAGTCGTGATCTTCAGGCACAGAGTGAATAAATAAAAGATAAAAAGCAACCAGCTGAGCTGCTGCTGCTGCTGCTGCCAGTCCCGGTCCCCAGTAGAGTCCGAGTCTTCCCCGACTTCTTGTGTTTTGTGTCTCAGGTTTGGGCAAATCCCTCGCTGCTGTAAAGAGACCAAACTAATCGGTGTCATTCATACAAATCAAACTAAATACCCACAACAGATCTCAGTATAACTATACCTATATATAATCATACAAAGCTAACCACAAGTAGGTACAGCGTTCTCAGATATAATGGATGGAACTATACCCTGCCTTCCAAACATTATTTTATTGAATGATGACTCCTCTCTTGCTCTATCCAAATCAAATAGATATTTTCTGTGGAATAAGTGCAGAAAATGGCAGTAATGAGATGGAAATATCTGCATATTGTAAGCTTACTTACAACTTACAACAACACTATTTATCATCACATTTATTTTATCATATTGACAATATGTGAATCCAAATCCAAAAAAAGCAGACCTCTAGGACCGCCTTCTTTCATTTACGTAATATTAGAAAAATTAGACACATACTATCACAGACAGATGCAGAAAAATTAATCCATGCATTTGTTACTTCAAGGCTGGATTACTGCAACTCTTTATTATCAGGTTGCCCCAATAAGTCCATTAAAACGCTCCAATTAATTCAGAACGCTGCAGCACGAGTACTGACAGGAACTAGAAAAAGAGATCACATCTCTCCTGTACTAGCTTCTCTGCATTGGCTCCCTGTAAAATGTAGAATTGAATTTAAAATCCTCCTCCTCACCTATAAAGCTCTTCATGGTCAGGCCCCTTCATATCTTAAAGAGCTCATAGTACCTTATTACCCCACTAGAACATTACGTTCTCTGAATGCTGGGCTACTTGTGGTTCCTATAGTCTCTAAAAAGTAGAACAGGAGCCAGAGCCTTCAGTTACCAAGCTCCTCTCCTGTGGAACCAGCTTCCAGTTGTGGTTCGGGAGGCAGACACCCTCTCCACATTCAAGAGTAGGCTTAAGACATTCCTCTTTGATAAAGCTTATAGTTAGGGCTGGATCAGGTGAGTCCTGAACCATCCCTTAGTTATGCTGCTATAGGCCTAGACTATCGGGGGATTTCCCATGGTGCACTGAGCTCCTCTCTTCCTCTCTCTTTCTGCACTCATTCATGTCCCTTTAATGCATGTTACTAACTCCACTTCTTCCCCGGAGTTCCTGTGCTTTCTCGTCTCGCAGGTTCTCATGGATCCTGGTGGAGCCTCCTGCCATGGTCCTGCTTGACGGCCATTGCCAATAGTGTTGTTGCTGTGCACCTGTCTGTCTGTCTGTCGCTCTCTCTCTCTCTCTCTCTCTCTCTCTCTCTCTCTCTCTCTCTCTCTCTCTCTCTCACCCCCAACTGGTCGAGACAGACGACCACCCACCTAGAGCCGGAGGATCTGTCCTAGGTTTCTGCCTTTTAACAGGCAGTTTTTCCTTGCCCTTGTCGCCAAGTGCTTGCTCATGGTGGTACTGTTGGGTCTCTGTAATTAATGTTAAAGAGTTCGGTCTAGACCTGCTCTATTTGAAAAGTGTCCTGAGATAACTTCTGTTATGAATTGGCGCTATACAAATAAAAAAATTGAAAATGTACATTTCTAATGGCAAAAATCAAATGGCAAATCAATAAAAACATTTGGTCACTATAAAGATGAAGGTGTAACATATGTCCCAGATACTGCTGTGGCAGAGCACAATACTTTTTATTTATCCAAAAAAGCTGCTGAAATGAAAGAGAAAGTTCTACTGAAGCAACTCACCACTGGCACTGAGTCGACATTTACCCAAACTGCCACCATTATGAAGTCTGATTTGTCCTTCTCTAAGAACGTCTTTGTCACACTGGACTCGTCCTTCAAATTGTTCATCCTGAGACTCTGAGACCTCCACACCGTCATGTAGATGATACAGGACTGATATCTTGTGATCAGTAATCAGTCTACAGTAGATAAAAAAGAAGTTGAGGGAACTGTGAGTGTTGGTTGTAAACGTCCATTCCAGTGTGATGTTATGGTTCTCCTCTGCCTGATAGGAGGTCTGTGTCACATTCACTACAAATGTTCCTGTTGAGGAGACAGAGAGGGAAAGTGAGGACCAGACAAAGTTACAACTTTAACATGTGAGCCTTTAGACTCCATCTCGAGATGTTTCTGTGGACAGTTTAGTGATGTTCTCAGTGCTGTAGAGGCCTTCCTCCTTACAGATTGAAAGCTGGAAGTCTGAAAGTGTATTTGGACTTTTCTCTTCATGGATAATAAAGTGAAGGTGTAAACTAACCACAGACACAGGAGGTCAGGTTGATGAGCAGCAGGATCCAGCAGATCATCTTCTCCCTGTGAGAGGAGACAGTGCAGGAAATATGTAGCTGAAGAGAACATTGAGAGTTCAATCCAAAGGGGAACAGCCTGCTTGTTGTACCAGGATTATTTTACAGTGCAGAACTGACTGTAGATGAGATTGAGAAGGAGGTGGAGTTTTACACAGCAGCAGCTCTGCCTCTTGAGTCCTGACTCACACAGTTGCAGCAGAATATGTTGTCAGTGTTTTTGATGAGCTTTTTATTACCTTTAAGAATAAAACTGATTGGTTTTATTTGAGTTGTTTCAAATGCATCAATAAAAACAGCAGGTTCAGTAAACATGATGTTTTATCAGATCAGGTGCATTACAATATCGCAGTTAACAAAAGGATAAAACTGCTTGAGGAAATCTACAAATGGCATTATGGACAGATCAACCACACTGAACCACAAACGTCTGGGTGCACACATCTCTAACAGTGTCCCATACAAGTTGACCCAGTGTGTCCAAATCTGAAGACATCAAACGCTGCCATTTAAAAATAGAGAGTTCATAAAAATCAAAGAATTAGTAACGTTGAAGACTGGATAGTTGAAAAGGGAAGGTCAACATATATTAACAGTTGTTACGGCCCTGGCCGTATTATTAGTATTATG